TTGTTAATGAGTCTTCCTCCAATCCTGATGCCACGTTTTTCTTCATAGAACCCAGCTTCTCGTATTATTTGCTCAGCATACAGGTTGAATAAGTATCCTCACCATAGGGGATAGGTATCAAGCTCTCCAAGTGGTACCTTGAAACTTTTTTGCTGAGTTTGCCATTCCTCAAGCCTCAGTTTGGAAAGATACTCACAGCACATAAGTCACACTCTCCAAAGAAACCCTCCTGCAAGCTCTTCCCCCCTGCCCCACCTTCTCAATTCTGTTCTGTCCCCCAGTGTGGCTGGAGGCTTTAGAGTAGGCTAGACTTTTTTTTTTTTTTTTCAGCTATTTACTTTGCTGATACACACTTTAGTTTTGTGCCTCACTTTGCATGAAACTTCTAGTTTAAGCCCCAGTCAGAAGTGCAGTGTGGCTTTGCCCTCCACAGAAGACCCCCACTGGCTGAGCATGGTGCCCTCTGGGTTTCTGGTAAACATCCTTCCAGGACGTCCAGAGCCCTGTCATGTGATGAGGACCACTGTTGCACATCCTCCCCACCTTTGGTTTCTGTGGGTCTTCCCTTGTTGGGTCGGGGACTTGGGGGACATCACAGCCTCTGTTTTCTGACTCATGACCAGAAGATTGTTACTCTGCATGGGCATGGAAAGCAAGGTCCTCTGTCTTAGAGGCACGGCAGTGGCTTTGTCCCAGAATGCCTCCCTATGCCCTCTATTTCCAGGAGTTCATGGCCATTTAACTGGACTTGCTGTCACTTTGAGCAGTTTGAATCCATTACCTTGTCAGGAACAAATTCAAACCAAATCGACCCTCAGATTTGGAGTAGCCTGCTGTTACTACACAATAGTCAGCCCAACTCAGCACTATTGTCAGCTGGGTGACACAGGGGTGTCACCATTGGCTGTGAGTCTAGAGAGCATGGGTGTCTATGAACAGGTGGGTGGTGGGCTTCCTGGGCCCGTGGCTGGCCCTGTTTTGCTCTTGCCACACAGTTGCCTGTGACAGCCAGTTGGTTGGGAGTTTCTGAGGTCATGATTTGGCTGTCAGTAACTCAGGGACATTTCTTTTCCCTTGTCCCAGTTCTCCACGGTGCGTATCTCAGTGGTGGTAACTTTGCATTTCTACGTTAAGTGAATTTGCTTGATATGGCTCCTCTATCCATAGTCTTTGTAACTCCCACCAAATGAATGGGTTGTTGTTGTTAGGTGCCATCGAGTCAGTACCGACCTATAGAAATCTTATGCACAGCAGAACGAAACACTGCCCGATCCTGGATCATGCAAACAAGGTGTATAGGACTTAAATGTGGAAATTGGCTAGTTTTGCCTTTCCACCTGGTTTAAAATGAACCATTTCAGAAGCAGGAAGAAGGCATCTCACAACCATCAAGAAAGAAGAACTATGAGCGGGTGGTCTTTTGAACCCTGAGATCCCTTCACAGAGAGGTGGTAGAGGCAGAGGGAGTGGCCTGGAGAGCCAGCTGCTTCCTGGCCCATGCACGGAAGCAGAGACCAAGGGACCGTGTGGCTGAGAGGTGTGCCTGCAGTATGACTGAGGAGAAGTGCTTCTTATGGGAGACCTACTATATAATGAGTTGTTTCTGATCCTAATAGACCCTGTAACCATGAGTATTGAATTCAGCAGAGAAGTAGAATGCAGTGGAGAGATGGTTGTTGTCAGACTAGGATAAAGAAGGGAAGGTTGGAGGATGGAAGCATGTCTGACCTCTGCTCACAGGCATTGGCCTTGGGCTGACGTGGAGTTTGAGTCTCCTTCTTACCTAGTCAGAGGAGGTCAGATGCTGCCTCCACACCATGTTTGCACTTAGCAGTCCTGGGCCATCGCTGGTGCCTCCTAGCAGCTCTGGGAGGTTAGACAGATGGTCTAGCCAATGTGGTAACCCTCTCTGTCGCTATTAGGGTATCTTGTTTCTTCTGGTGTCGTGAGACCAGTGCATGTCCTAAACTCTTTCTTCTGGACAACTGTTTTCATTGTCCTATAGCAATATCTAAGGAGCTCTGGTAGCGTAGTGGTTACAAATCGGGCTGCAAGCCTCAAGGTTAGCAGTTCAAAACTACCAGCTGTTCCGTGGGAGAAAGATGAGGCGTTCTGCTCCTGTAAAGATTTTCAACCTCAGAAACCCTGTACAGGGTCGCTATGAGTCGGAACCAACTCCACGGCACACAGCAATATCTGGAGTCCTGGTGTGGCGCTGTGGGCTAATGCATCAGACTGCAAAGTCGTTTGAACTGCAAGGTCAGTGGTTCAAACTCACCAGCTGCTCCTTGGAAACGCTTACAGGGTCGCTATGGGTCAGAATCAACTCGATAGCACTTAACAACAACATAGCAATATCTGGATTTTTCATGATGCAGAAATCAGCGTTCTAGGTATGAAAGCTTATTTGTTGTTACTATCATTGCAGTCGGTCTTCCCTAACCAGGAGCTCAAGACTACACCCCAAATCTGCTGCTCTCCCTCCAACCAGGAAGCATACATTCTGGGTGACTGTTGTCAAATAGTTTACAGAAACCCAACAGCTTTGGGGTACCTCTCGTATGCCAGACACTTTGCTAAACACGTTAACACAAATTATCTCACTAACCCTTACCGCCTTCCTACGAGATGAAATAGTATAATAAATAAATAAATAAAATAATAAAAAAAACGAAATAGTATCATCACCTTGGAGTTCTAGATGGAGGCTCTGAAAGGATAAGTAAATGGTGAAGACTTGGTTTAGCCTCCAAAGCCCATGCTTCATCCCTCCTTAACCTCCCACCCTTCTCGGTATGTTGACTGGAACTAGAGGTACCGCCCTCCCACCCCCCACCCCACCCCCGGCTTGGACACAGCATCTGATGGCAGTGGCTCAGTCACAGTCTGCTTCTTTGATCTCACTCACCCTATGCATCATGGTTGAGCTTGAAGTTCAGGGCCCTAAACCCACTGTTGAGAAGATCTTTCCTGGGACGTCATAGTGGATTTTGAGTGTTTTGCTTAGTGAACTTTTTTCATCAGTATCCCCAGCATTTTCAGAGAAGCCAGAGAGAGGTCAGGTCCTGGGTTATGTTCAAGATGTGCCTTCCGTGAATGTTCCAGGGGAAATACCAGAAGAAACAGAGAGTTTGGGTTCTAGCGAACAATAACTAACTTTGCTTTTCTCTTTTTCATTTGCGGATGCATAAACCAGCTGAAGAAGCAGGCATTGGAGACACCCCCACCCTGGAAGACCAAGCTGCCGGGCACGTGACTCAAGGTCAGTGGACTAGAATTGCCTACCATGATTTGGGGACTGGGGTAGAGGAAATTGTGAACATTTAATCAGGCTGTACTTTGCAAAGGGAATTTGGGTCTGGGGTTTAATTCACAGGATCAAGGCCAGGAGATTTTAGGAGATTGGTTCTTATTAAAAGTAAGTGGCTACTTAGAGATAGAAAGAACCCTAGCATTTTTTTTTTTTTTCTAATCCCTTTCTATGCCTTTCCTAAGGTATTTAGTGTCTGAAACGAACCTGAGAGTTGAAAATGAAAGTCCAGTAGGAGAGCAAATCTCTCTGAGGAGAATTTACCCTGCAGGTTGCCCTCTGGCCTATCTCAGGAGCAAGACCTCAACCACATCACCACCCATGAAATCATGACCTCCAAAGTCAAGTGTAATGTGGAAACTTGAAAGAGCTGGAAGGATGCTGATCTTTCTTCAGATCATGATGTCTTTCTGATGTTTAGTGCCTCCACTGGTGTGGTCTGGTTTGGGGAAGTAAGTTCTGGTGGCCAATAGTTAAGCATTTACCTGCTAATTGAAAGGTTGATGGTTCAATGGGAGAAAGCCCTGGAGATCTTTCTCCCAGGAAAACCCTGTGGATCGGCTCTGCTCTGTCACACCGAGTTGCTATGGGTCTCGCTCAACACAATGGCATCCAGCAATGACTGGGTCTGACCAGACATCACATTGAGGGTATTTTGAGGCTAACGAGGCATGGAAAGAGGTATGTTTGTTCTTAGGCTGACAAAAAACTTCGAAAAATAGTAGAAGGGTCAGTAATGGAAAATGGAGGGATCCCACTGTGTGTGAAATAGCTAGATGACTGATCTCTGATTCTCTTAGGGCACGGTTTTCAATTTAGGTAAAATTGTTGTTGTTGTTGTTGTCATGTGCCATGGAGTCAGTTCCAACTCAGAGCAACCCTGTACAGGGTTTCCGAGGCTGTAAATCTTTACGGGAGCAGAAAGCCTCATCTTTCTCCTACGGAACAGCTGGTAGTTTCAAACTGTTGACCATGAGATTAGCAGCCCAATTCGTAACCACCAGCGCTCCTTTAGGTAAAGTTGTTGTTGTTGTTGTTGTTATGTGCCATGGAGTCGGAACCGACTCATAGCGACCCTGTACAGGGTTTTGCCTTTAATAAAGTATTTAGGAGCCCTGATGGCGCAGTGGCTAAGCATTTGGCTGCTAACCCAAAGGTCATCAGTTGGAACCCAGCAGCCACTCCGTAGGACAAAGCTGTGACAATCTGCTTTCATAAACATGACAGCCTTGGATACCTTATGGGGCAGTTCTGATCTGTCCTATAGGGTCACTGTGGGTCCGAATTGACATCACATCAATAGGTTTGGGGGTTTGAGGGGATAAAGTATAACCTCTGGAAATGATCATTTGCTTCCATAAAAAGAATGAGTTTGCATCTTTTCTGCAGGTTTGTATTATAGGCTGTGTCTACATGTCCTTAAAACAATTCACTCAAAAAAAAAAAAACAACAAGAAAAGATCTGGCTAACTTTTTTTCTGGAAATTTTACTTTTGTGCTCTGTGAATTTTTTAAAAAGTCTTGCCCAAATGTCCCCACTGTCCTTTAAGCTCAGGACCCACCAAGCCGTGACTTCAGTTTCCAGACATTTGCATGTTGTAGCTGTTGTTGTTGTTGTTAAGTGCCGTCGAGTTGGTTCCGACCCATAGCGACCCTGTACAGGGTTTCCGAGGCTGTAAATCTTTACGGGAGTAGAAAGCCTCATCTTTCTCCCACGGAGCGGCTGGTAGTTTCGAACCGCTGACCTTATGGTTCACAGCCCAATTCGTAACCACTACACTACCAGAGCTCCTTATTGTAGCTAGTGCTCCTTTATTTCCTCTGCTTCTTTGTTAAATTGCCTTCCCCATCACCCGAGTCAACACTTGTGTACCCTGGGCTCACTGAATTTTAAAATTTCCCACAGCATTCTGGGATTGTATAGGTATAAAGGAGAGCACAAGGTCCCATCTGCATTGGGGAAACTGGCACCAAATAAACACATACGCAGTGTTCTATCCCTCTCCTCTCCAGCCCATTACCGGTGCCTTGATTGGTACTGCTGGTCAGAATTGCCAGGCCCCGTTTCCTCTAGTGAAACCTGGTGACACTCTGACACGCTGGTGATCTGCAAAGCACGCTTAATTTGCCAAAGACGTAGAGTCTGTGAGATTCAGAAGGAGACTTGTAGTCAAAAGTACAATTCTTAGATCTCTTTCTTGTTTTTTCCTTCTGCCGAAACAAAAGCCTTCGATGGCGTCTCTTCAGTACCTTTCAGCCAGGAAAATATTTGTCAGTCGTTGTTGTTGTTATGTGCCGTGGAGTCGGTTCCGACTCATAGCGACCCTGCACAGGGTTTCCGAGGCTGTAAATCTTTACGGGAGCAGAAAGCCTGATCTCTTCCCTGCGGAACAGCTGGTAGTTTTGAACTGCTGACTGTGAGATTAGCAGCCCGATTCATAACCACGACGCTACCAGAGCTCCTTTGTGTTGCTCTTCTTCCATTAATTGCTGTTCCTGTTGGCTAATTAACCACATTTGTGATGTCTGCTAATTTATTTGGAACTCCATTG